GCACAGCGCGGCAGCGTGGAGGTGTTAATCAGCGTGCACTGCGCGCAGGCCCAGGTGGTGGGAGCCCCCCTGGCCTGCTCGGCTGGAAACGAAAAATGGCGATTGACAAAGGGCAGCTGGGGGCTGGGGAGACCATCAGGGCAAACCACCGCACCGGCCTCTCGAATGGGGCCGTCGCGCTCACCGCTGGAAACGGTGGAATCGGCGGGAGCGAGCCGGTGCCGCTTACGTTGCGATGGGCGATATTTGGTCCCCGGGGCGGAGTCCCTGTGCAGGGGAAGGACCTGCTGTGGGCGTGAGTTCTCGGATAGGTACCGATCAATGCTTGCTGTCAGATTGGGTGTATCAAACATATCTAAAGTGTGAAAGAAATCGTCAATATCGTCTGACATTTTTGAACTTCACCTTCCAGCTTGTTTATTTAATATCGATATAAATTTTCGGTGATATATTGTTTGTATTAGGTAAAATATTAAAGGTAGATCTTTGAAATACTAGGTATTACAGCTGCACAAATGCTTCTCCTGTGTCCGAAGAGGTATATCAGGTGAAGAATTCTGATTCTAGAGTAAAATTAAAATGAATCTAAAGCTCTCTGCTTTGAGGAATAATTTGGGAGAAATATAAAAATCTAAAAAGAAAAACTTGAACCGTAGATTCTCAAGTCTAAGAGCCGTTCTGAGAACGGAGATAAAACTAGGAAGATATAAATTTTATTTTGACATGTTTAAAGAAGTTCATCTGGGATTGGTAAGAAACTAAAGAATATACAGAATACTTTGAACAACTACATTGAAAGTTGAGCTTTGCATGCCCTCAACTCTATTTCTTGAATATTTCTTATATTTGCCATTATGCGGATTTCACACATGTTTCCAAAAAATCTATAAGTTTTCAGAGAGGTCTTTTTCCTTCAGAAATAAGTTTTATAAGCAAATTTATAAATTTACCAGCAAAACTAAACAGTTACCCATATAGTTAAATATAAATAATTCAGACTATTCTGGAGCATCCTATGCTCTACATAAGAGGGTTGGTAAAAAAAAAAGACATAAAAATCTATTACGCGACGTTATCGGATTCCCATGGTAATCCTAGTTGCCGCATATTGATAGCAAGTTCCATAAGGTAGTCAAGACACTCAACACAACCCTTCGCCTGTTGCCACGTGGAGCCCCAGACGTACATGCCATGCCGACGCACTAACACCGCGCACGTTTCTGGATACTTTTTCATACACTCTGCCATACTCGCAGTGAGGTTGGACTCGAAGTCGGTGTTCTCGATAATCGGCACCACCAGCGTGTCCCGGAATCCCAGGGCCTTCTTTGTCACGTCATTCCGAATGCCCTTGATCATTTCCACGTGTGAAATACGAAACTCGTTATCGCACAACAGGCTTATAAGGACACTGTTCTTGGAATGCGTGTGCAGAACTGCTCCAGCGCCGCGCATGCGGTACGCATTGAAAAAGAGGGGAGCGCACTCGGAAACCCTGAGATTTGGGATTTGGGGGTTGGGGGGCTTTTCAACAATCTCCATCTTGTCATTTAGGACAAATATGTCGCCTGACTGAATACGCTCCTTCTGCACACCGCTAGGTGCCAGGTAGTACTTGTCGTCCAATCGGATTGAGACACCACCACCCGTTCCGGTAGCCCATCCAAGACTATAAAAGGTTGCGCACAACTCGGGAATGAGATTAAATGGATGCTCGGGGTGGTAATTAATAAGAGCAGAGCTCATTGAAAGAGTATCGTTGTATGTATAAGATATAAATACAAATATGTATATATGTGAAAAAAATAAGAAGTGAAATAGACTATATTACTTTTATTACTTTTTTATTAGGAATGAGGAATAACATAAGAAAAGTTATCTAAGCATGATAAAAGTGGATAAAAAATTAGTCATGAAAAAGGTAATAAATTAAACTTCAAACAAGGTGAAAAAAAAATAGCTCTCTAAACAGAACCCAAGGAACTTCATTTATACTGTAATTATATTCAAAAATGATTTGTGGGAATATTTCAAGAATCTAACAAAAAAGACATGAATGAAGATAGAATCTACAACCCAGATATCCTCCTGAAATAATATCTACGTGAAAACATAAAAAAAAAGATTACAGCCCGCCAGTCCAAGTTATACACCGCTTTATTCTCCTTTTAGCTGAAAAATTGAGAGAGAATAAACTCACTTCCTGACATCAAATCTCATGCTTTAGGTGTATCTTCAATAGTTTGAGATCCGCCTCACAGAGGAGCCGATAAGCGTATCCTTCACGCGCGTCGCAAACTGTAGCGAGTTCGTACTTTCTGTTAAGTAAGAACTTTTATTAGATATCGTTACCACCATCAGCATCTTCGCTCCCTTTGCTCCGAGGTAATTCTGTAATAAATAGGTTAAACGGCTATTTCGCCATGGCACCACGGCACCACTGCGCAATGCGCTAATACATTTCCCAAGATCCAACAAACTACGATTGATGCTCACAGCCTCTTTGAATTGCTGTCCTTGAGCACCCGACTCATTCACGCGCTCGCTACCGGCCAAGTCCACCAGGCAAAGCACCCCTTTGCTTTGCTGACGAATCGTTTCGTTCCGGCCGTCAATCCGAAGGGTAAAGATCGAATGTGAGCGCGAGGAGTGGTCATTGAGCTGGGTTTTGGCCGTTTTACGGTACCGCGTTGCCTGGCGGTACACCGCGCGAAAGTCGTCCATGGTGACGATTCGCCTCGTCCGCGTATTCCCGATCACCGTCTCCCCTGTTTGCTCGTTATGACGGATGGTGTGGTAGTTCGCGGTTGCTGCGGGGCCGCTGAGGTCGTAAAGGGAAGGGTTCTGCAAAAGATCCCGCACCTCGTCGCTGTAGACCTCCACAACGGAGCAGGACATCGTATAATGCCACCCATCGCGCGAAAGCGCCTCCTGGCGCGCAAAAATCGTCCGCAGCGCGCGTGGGGCGATCCCTTGGGTGGTCTCCGAGGCCATTGATCCTTCCATGGTGTAAGTCTTTCCACTCCCGGTTTGGCCATAGGCAAAGACGCAGACATGATAGCCATCCACCGCGCTATTCACGAGCGGCTCGACCTCGTTGTAGACGTCCGCCTGCGTGCTGCGGCCGTCAAAGACGCAATCAAACGTGAAGCTCTCCGTGGATCGATGGGTGGCGGTGGAAGTGGCGTTGCTGCGTGTTTGGTGGACGCAAATCGTGCGATATTTCAGGTCCTCAATCGGAGAGGGGATTGCCAAATCCTTCGCATTCCCTCGGTCGTCCTGCTCGGAATTGAGGGTTTTTTTTTGGAAGAGGAGGATGCTCGCGCGCCGGATTGGGTGGCAGAAACGGAGTAGGTGAACAATTCCGCTTCGTCGTTTTCCTCAGGGAAGCCGGCATCGCTCGTCGTGTGGTTGCTTCGCATACTCGTCGAATCCACTCTTCGACCGGCACGCTGGCGTTTTTCCTCCATGGTTGTCGGTGAAAGTTGTAGGGACGAATCCTCAAACGCCGCATCGCAAGTGGCTGCGGTTGGTGAAGCGTCGCCTTTCACCCGACAAAACACACGAATGGAGCCTTTGATCTCCTCACATTTCGCATTAAGCTCGCGACGCACCACTTCGGTTTCCATCGCGGCAACTTCCGTTTGCCGCTGAGAGCGCTTTAGTTTCTCCATCTCCATTACCATCTCCTTTGCCTCGCCTGTAAGACCGTAGGCCGCATCCTGCATACGCTTCTCCTCCTCGATCAGGTCCTTCAGACTAGCCTTCTCGGTCTGTAATAAGTCTTGCGCGGTGTCTAGGTTACTTTGTAGCTCCTCCACATGATCCTTTGAAATGATAATATTCTCCTGTAGCGTATTCTTTTGATTTTGAAGGCTTTCTTCATCGTCCTTCAATTGCTCGATTCTTTCGGAGGCCAGCTGCATATTCACGCGGCACCTATCCTCCCGCTGTGAAAGCTGATGCATGGCCTCAAGGTGGGCAGTCGCGGAGTCTCGTGCGCGCTTTTCCAAACGAGTCATCACGTCTTCATGTTCGGAAAGCATCTTCTCGATTGCCTCAACCGTCGTCCCTAAATCGCGACCTAACCTGGCCTCCATTTCGGTAAGTTGGGCGACTTCGGTTTCAAGCATTCCGCGTTTGGCTTTCCAGATGTTGCTGAGTGAAGGGAATCCCATCGATTCGTTCTTCAAGGCTGTCTTGGCGGTGGATGGGGTTGGGGTTGGGGTTGCCATCCCGCCTTGCGCTTGATGGATTCGAGAGGATATGGTCGTGTGCGTCCGAGGCTGACAATGGAGGGAGGACGTACAAGAAGAAGCCGCGGTGCTGGATTCACTATTTCTATCCGAAGCGAGCGTACCGCTTGACTTCGGGCTACTAATACGGTGTGGGTCCACCCTATTGACGCCTGAAGTACTTTCTGATAAATTTCTAGTAATTCCTTTAGCTGTGGCACCATGTGTACGACTAAGGCCATGGATGTTGACATCCTGACGAGGCCGTAGGGCGATCGAATCACCGGCCCGCGATGAATTGTCGCGTTCACGTTTTCTATAATTCATTATTCATGCAAGACGCTGATGCTAAGAAGTTTAGTACAAGGAAAATAAGAAGTGAAAAAAATTCAGTGGTCGCAAGCGTGATCATCTACGCACTTCTGGCAAAACCTTCCCTTGATTGTTAAAAGAGAAGAAATCCGCAATTTATTTTTTTCATCACATTGCAAGGATGCACTAAATACAATTTACATACAGAAAAAAAAAGGAGTAAATTGTCAAATGTACAGCTTTTCAGCGAATCCGAGACGAGTTGGGATTGTAACCAAATTAATCATCCGTCTTCACCTTTATTACATATTCACGAAGAAACCTCAGCGTCGACGGAAGGAAAGGCTGGTCATCTCGGAGGAGCCTGTTTTACAGGCACTTAAATACAATACTCTGAGTGTACCAAAATGACCCACTGTTCGAACTAGGGTAAAACACGGCGGAGGATGGCTTTTTAATTCGTTCTTTGGGGTCAATCCGGGGGTCGTAGCCGTTCAGGGGGTCCTCCCAGTACTCCAAGGTGGTGGGCTTGTCCTCGACGTAGCCCGGCGGCCGCCAGGGCTGCTGGATCACGAAATGCGCAAACTTCGGCGGGGACCGCTTTTCGCGAAAAGGGACCGTCATGATATAGCATTTGGAGGCCCCTGTCAGGAGGCTCTCGTCGAAGGTGAAGCCGCGGCGGCCGCAGGGGCGAAAAGTCTCCGCCGGCATCCGCCGCCGCCACGCCTCGCGGTAGAGCTTCTCATTCACGCTGGGCTGATCGTAAAAGGACGCGATGTAGTCATTGCCGATCGCGGACAAACTCAGCCCTGGCGTCCCGTAGGAGCCTTTCGGGCTCGGCGAGGTGAAAATGCCGCGGGGTAGGGGCGCTTTGCGGACGGCGGGAGGCCCGCGCGAGGTGAGGTGCTCCGGGATGTGGGGATGGGGGGTTTTCTGAAAGCACCCAAAGTAGGACCCCAGACCTTCCGGACGGCGTGTGGGGGAGGCGTACAGAAAGCCGTTCGAGGTCAAGTTCTTTTTGCTCTCCACCATGGCCTGCTGGCGGCGTATCTTCTCTAAATATCCCCCCCGCTCGCCGTTCCAGATGTACTTGAATTCTTTTTCAAAAAGCGCATCGGGGTTGTGGCCTGTCTTCGGGTGACCAACAAGAAGCGCAAGGCTGTGCGCACGAAAATCAACTACTTTTTTGGGGCGGTCACCGGTGCAAATATAGGAAGGGATGGAAAACACCATGCTCCTCTTAATTAGCGAGTTTGGAAAGGAAAAGTCTAGATTCTAAAACAAAAAAAAAAGGTAGAAAATAGATTTCCGGCGTGTCTACTTGACACCCTTTGTTATTATTATTAAAATCAACCTTGTCACCCTTTTGTATATTATCAATGTCTTCCCCTCCTATTTCGATAATATAATGCTCCTTTAAAAGGCAATTAAATTGGATAGAAACAAGAACACAAGATATATCAAGTAAATGCCAAATACAGGTCAAAGTATAAAACCAAAAGAATGTATGCGTGTACTATGGATAACATGCGATAATTCATAAAAATTTGCACGAATAGTATCTCCTCAGGTTATGCAGAAATTGATAACCCCATCTTGTTGTAAGAAAACTACTGTCGTCTCCACCATTCTTCAAAATCGCGATATATGTAGGGGAGATAGTTTGGGTCCTAATGGCTTCAATACAGAATTGAAAAATCTTACCAATCACTCCGTGGCACCCCATTTAGAAGTACGACACGTCAAACAGGACACGAAGCTGCGCTTGGATCATTTCATTAGCCCAAAGTTATGATCCTCTGAAGTATAAATATTAAGGAAAATTCGCAAGCACACAAACGTATTGGCGAAATGGACTATTAGATTTTATGGTAAGGTGCGACAAAAACAACAATGTCCGGCCCCATCTCGAAATGTATCGATAAAGATATGGACATGAGATCTGTTTAAAAAACAGAGATTTTCCCTAAAGTCTGATTTATTATGTGCAAATAAAAGAAAGGATGAGGATAATATAGGAGAGCACAAGAGACGGCATTAGATGTTACGACTTTAACAGCTCCATTCAAATTCACATAGGTTGATTAATGATATTATTAAACAAGAAAATTAATCCGCATGCTTATATCGTTTGTTTAACTATTTTAATTGTATTATGTTAATTAGTGCCTTGACTTATGTTGGCTACGGAACTCCCGCATGCGAGAGGTTTCTTTCTTAGCACGCTTCAGCCCACGCGCGTACTCCTCATTTTCTCTCTCGGCCTTTTTCACTGCACGTTCTCGCGCGCGCTTTCTTGCCAAATCCTTCACCTTTGACATCGCATCCGCGCGATCCTCAAAAGCGTCGAGCAAGGCCTGACGACGCTGCTCATGAGGCTCCGGTGCGATCGTCGTCGCCCCCTGTATTCGATCCCGCAGTTCATTTGTCGGCTTTAAAGGAATAAACTCTTCTTTCATGTCATACGGTAGCTGCATTTTCATATTCCGTGAGAGGAGCACCTTCTGTGCGTTGAGATCCTCGTCCTCCTCGACGACGCGGTGGCGGCGTTTGATCTCGCGGTATTCGGAATCCTTGTTAGTCTTCAATGGAACACCGTAGTCCCAGCGCAGCTCCCGCATCGTCCTCATGCCCACCCAATCAGGATCCACGAGATTCCGTTGAATAGAACAATAGATCGGTGGTTCAACCCGCTTCCACGCGCGAATAAACACGATATCGGAGGGGAAGATCTTGTCCTCAAAGGTAGCCCGCACCATCCCCTGCTTCCCCTTGGGGGCAGCTTTAATAATACCACGAACGCCCGAAACGGCTTTGAGCTTCGCCCCCACGAACTTCGTGGCCTCGATCTCACTACTAAACATCCCCTTAATAAAGACAGTCGTCTTCTCGATCTTTGCGGGTGTCCCGGTAAGTTTGAGCTTCTTCACAATCTCCGCGGTATCATCGTTGCCGACCGTATACCCAGAGCAAGAAATACGAAAGTTCGCTATGCGTTGCTCACGCACGGGAATTGCTAAAAATCCGGTGTTGGGCGGCACCACCGGGGCGTAAAAGGCGGCTACGCAGTGCATATGAAGAGGAGTATATTTAAGATAACGATGCCGTCCGTTGGGATCCTCCGAGGCAAAAACCGGCTGTGTTTGAAAGCGACGCCAGCCCATCGAAATCAATAGCGGATCCTGCGCTTTGAGGATTTTAGGATACCAGCGATGGCGCTTGAGCTTTGTGTGAACGATACGAAACTCATCCTCGCCGGGGTTCAACCCACCCGCCAGAAGAGGTTTGCAAGGATCAAACTGGTTAATAAACTCAACAGGAATATTCTCGATCACAAAACGCACATACAACCCGCTAAAATACCCCACCAGCTGGATTTTCTTTTCTATGTCATCGCCAAACTTGTCAAGTGTTTCGCTTAGCTTTGCTTTCCGCTCTTCTTCTTTGCGGTTGAGCTGATGGTAGTAGCTGAAAGTCATATTTTTGGACGTCGAGGATCCCATAGCACCCCCTGTTAAGTCGTATTCATCGTCGAACCCTTTCTTTTTTTCCATCTTTTTCTGCATCAAGCGCTCTTGCTCGGGGTTTAGTTTCTCACCGCGCATAACCAAGGCGCTCTCGGCCTCGTCTCCGGCATCTTGCGCATTGCGCTTCGCCCAGCGATCCTTCTCATTGTAAAATTTGATGCCCTCGTCGTCGTTGTTGTCAAAATGATCATCGTTTTTGAGATTCTTTGAGGGCCCTCCAGCTGTGGATTCACGGTTGAGAAACCCCACGACGAGCTCATCAAGCTCTTCGTCGCCGCCGATCCCTCCGCGTTCTCCGTTCCCCTCCACACGATCGCAATCATCGGCAAGAATGTCATAATCATCATCCGCGTCTTGATTTTTAGTCCCTTTCTTCCATCGTACAGAACGTTTTTGATTCCCAGTCGAGGGGTCCGCATCGTTGGAAAAAGACCCTAACGCGAAGTCCCCTTTACTGGCATACTTGACCTCTGCAAGGGCGTCCGATCCCCTTCGCGCCTGCCCATTAGCACCATCATAATCCTCGTCGTCGTTCGAAGAACGAGCCTTTTTGGTGGTTTTAAGAGGTTGTTTTCCATTCATTTGCGCTTCAAATTCACTATCGTCGCTTTCGTAGCCCTTGCTCCTCGCCTCATCATCGCTACTGCTCTCCCCCTCCTCACCTGATTTCCAATTCCCGGTGACGCATAGATCCTTCAGCATGCGCAACCGCCGACAAGCGGCCTCGTCGGCCTCGTCGAACCAACTATACACCGGGCAGGGTCGATAGACCGAGTCGAGGTCGTCAAACCGCCGTGGCTCCAACCCCAGCGCGTCCTCGTTGTCCCCGCGGGGCTCCCCCGAGGCGACGGAGGACCCCTCCTCGTCCAGGCTCCCCGTGTCCCTGTGAAGGCCGTCGTCCGCCGTGTCACTGTCGTCCGTGTCACTGCCCGCCGTGTCGGTGTCGCTGTGGAGGGCGTCGTCCGCCGTGTCGGCGCCGGGGGCGGGCCTGCGGATGAGCCGGAGGCCCCGCGCGCCGCGGCCGTCCTCCATCGGGGCCGCGTGCTGGAGCTGGCGCAGGAGGGCGAGGCCGTCCCCTTGCCGCTCCCCCCCCCTCCCCGTCCCCGCTGAGGTGGACCCCGTTCCGGTCGTAGCGCAGGCCGCCGACGTCGGCGAAGGGGGCGTGGAGCTGGCGCTGCTTCGCCGAGAGGTGGCGCCCGCGGGAGGAGCCGGCGGAGGAGGGCGCGAGGGCGACGGGGTCCGCCAGCCGCGAGAGCCCCGCGAGGGCGAAGTCGCCGAGGCCCGGGAGGTGGACGAGCTGCCCCGGCCGTAGGGGGCGCCCGCGGGCGTAGCCGAAGAAGGCGACGGTGCGCGGGCTGCCTGGCCCCAGCTCGGGGTCCGTCAGGTCCTCAAAGCGGTCGATCAGGACGCAGCTGTGGGTGTTCCGCCAGGACTGAAGCTTCGGCTCGACGGAGATCATCAGCCGGTGCAGGCTCAGCACGTCGGTGGGGCGATACAGGCCGCGGACCATCGGGGCGAGGCAGTGCAGTTTGGCCCCTGCCGCGACCTCGTGCCAAAAGCGGTGCCGGAGGAACTTCTTCCGCTTTTTGAGCGCCTTGCCCGTTTTGAGCTCGTCAAGATGGGAGACGACGCCGAACATCTTCGGAAAGCCATGCACCTGGGTGATCGTCAGGAACTCAAACGTTTCCATCTCGAACCCGTAGCTTCCATCTACCATCAGTAGTACCAGATCCGCGATCTTTGCAACATCACACATCGCATCTAAATGATTCGGACATTCTATAAATGTCAAACGGCGGCTTTGGCCGGCAACAACCGTAATCGGCCCATGGATGTTTTGCAAATTACGATTGGAATAGAACTTTGTCAAAGAGCGGATTAACGTCGTTTTTCCCACCCCTGGTGGTCCTACTACAGCCACCAAAAGAGGAGGATCCCCGACAAGATGACTAAGGGTTTTGTCCACAGTAGGCAAGTGCAGGGCAATTTCTCGCTTTTCCACACTACGTAGGAGCTTTTGTGCTTTTCGACTTCCCGTGCTGGGCCCTTGGAAGGCTTTACTATTACTTCCACGATTCGGCTCGAGCTCCAGACCTGCACGCTTTTTACGATGCTCATCTTTCTTGAGCGCTTTATGGCCCACCACCCTGTTTTTGTGGGATTTGTTCTTTTGGTCTTCCTCCTGCATGGTGCGGAGAGAGCTAAAGATCAAACCAAAAGCCTACCTTGAACTCCTTGAATTTCACCTATAATGGTGTATACATTGATATAGGCGTTAAAAAAAGAGGTTTTAGATCAAGAATGTTGAAAATGCAAAATAGGCTACCTCCATTTATTTTATGTACAAAAGGGGAGCACAGTGACATCAATTTCTCTTGACACCAATGATTCAATTTACAGAGGTTAGCTTTTTCTGTTTGATTTAAAAATATCAACGTGAGTGTAGTGTTAATCGAAACGAATAGACTGGCAATAAAGACAATAAAAAATAAAAATCGTTTATATAAGACAAAAAAACACGTTAGCTCCCATCGTCAGTTCGCTCAAAACATTGAATCTCACAAGAGTGATGTTTTAGCATCATCCAATCCCCGCTTTCCGAAGAGCGTAGCGTACAACTTGACAAAGTTTTCGTCAAATAGGCTAGGGGTGGGCTGTCGGTCCCAGAGATGATACATCAAATTACGCCAATAACCACGATCAAATGGATTTTTTTTACTCGCGTACACATATTGGATTCTCTCCCGCGTAGTGCTTGCGGAGGCAAACCCATAACACATAGAAAGCATCACCGAACTCACACTTACAAAGCTCATTAGAAGGGTCAGAAAGATAATACACGAGAAGAATAATTGTGTCGGGGAGAGCTTTTCGGTATGCCAATAGAACGCATTCGCCATGGATAGAACTAAGATAAGGTTCAACACGCAGGTTTCGATCAGAAAAAGGGTAAACACCAACGCGTTTCGACGTCCAACGCAAATCCCGATTACCCCGCAATGGTGGTCGTGATCATAGCAGCAGAGCCCGCAGTGATAGCAGTGGGCCGCTCGCACCGGACGGTACATTTCGCAGGTCGAACACCACTTTCGCTCCATCGAAACCCCGTGAATCATCTCCCACTTACTTTCGCGTTTATTCGACTCGATTTCTTTCAATGTGAGCTCATTTTTTCTCCCCGTAAAATCAATCGGGCCAGGTAGACCCCCTTCCTTCTCTCTATCCATATACCCAGGCCGAATATAGCCCGGATCGGCAAACATCACGCGGACAAAAAATGCAAGAAAGAAACCTGCCGCCAAGAACCCGGAATTCCGCATTTTGTAAAGCCATTCCTCATCAATTAGCGCGCAGAAATAAAAATTATAAGCTAAGACAACAAAGAAAAATAAAAGGGGCAACGCCGCTGAGGTTGTCGTCTTGGGGACAGGAAAATAGACATACCCTTTAAAAGGAACATACCTCCGAAAAAGACGAACATGCCCGATCGTGACATAGGGTCTACGGCCAAATAAAACAAATTCAATTGCCCAAATAATGGGAAAAATAAAGGAAAAATTTTTCGAAAAATTCTCCACTTGTTTGGAAACTAACGCTTGAGTGGTTTCCTCCGTCATTTGCTCCGGCATCTCTTTGCGTAGTTCATACTCAATGTCCTTTATTAAAATACACACCTGCTCGGCGGCGGAAAGCCCGTTCGATTCTTCGACTTCGGGAGCATAACACACCACCGTATTCGGATTATAATTTAAATCTTCCTTGGCAAAGTATCCTTTATCGGTAGGCGAAAGAAGGCTTTGGGGGTTTTCAAGGCTAATGCGCTCCCCACAGGCGCCGCAGGGGACGCCGTACTGCCCGGGGTTATCGCAGGTAAATTGAACGGTACTACAGCAGGAGGGGCATACGACGCTATAGGTCAGCCCGATAACAGGAATTCTGAGTTTCATCACAGAGCATGCAGAACAATAAAACAAAGGTAAATATAGTAATAATGATACAATGTAAAAAAGAAGATGAGAAGACTTCCCCTAAGGATGAAGTTTTTTTTACCTTTCTTTATTATTATTATTATTATTTTGAGGGGGGATGTGGCTCGAGTTTTCAAAAGGCTAAAAAAGAAAAAGAAGAAGTAATAAAACCTGGATCAAGCCAAGCAAAGTATTTCCCAATTTATATGTCAAATAAAATATAGCAATGATTAATATGTAAAAATAACATATGAACACGGGAAGGCGAAACTTTTAAAAAGGAGGAAGCTATATAGATTTGAATATTTCAGCCGATTAAAAGGATGAATGTAAATTAAATAAAGTATTCAAAATCGTTGATGTAAACATGGGAAATGGTATGCATAATCAAATACAACGATACATTCCTTCAAACTCATTAGGGTTATCATTTTTATTTATAAAAGCAACCCCTCATGAGCTCTAAAGATGAATTCCAACAAAACCAAGAAGTGTGTAGACATTATGTGTGAGTAGCGAAAAGTTGTTAACGGACTAATAAAATAATAATAAGTGATATATAGGCTTACGAGCCTCCCCTCTCTCAGCGCATCTTCGCAAAGAAATGCAAATCAGAAGGAAGTGAATCCAATTATTGAGAATAATAGGAAATTTATAACACTATTATTGATATATTTATCGATTGTAAAGAGGAAATAAATATCTCTCTATCAGGATGTTTATTATCAACTGATACCATCGGATGAAGAAAGGTACATGTTGTTGGAATAACAAAATACTAACATCGATGTCAAGTTGCCAATGAGTAAATTTGTTTACTCCGGTTTTAATATATATATATATATATATATAATTTAAAAGAATATGTTTGTAACCTCCTATTGCGTCAAATAAGAAATAATATAAATGAAAACTTCGTCCCTACATTTACTCCATATGAACACTCCTCCTTACCTTTGTTTGAGTGAAGTATGTGCATAGAAAGCGGATATAAAACTGTACAGTCAGTGATACCTTAGTTCCTTAATAATAATAATAATAATAATAAGAAAAAGACAAAAAAAATCTGGTAAAAGTTATAAACATTTTTAAAAAGATGATATATCAACGGAAAAAAATGGTTCATAAACATTAGTGTTTTTATTTTATCTGCATGGAAAGCTAGCCAATAAAACGTCTTCTAACATTAAGAATTATGGGGAAACCCTAAAATTGAATAGAGTGTATGTAATGTTTTCCCTTTCAGTCTTCTTTTGCTGTTGATGCAGCTGACAAGTTTACATTCGATTCCCCTCTCCCTTCCTCTCTCTCCTCATTGTGGTTGACATTTCAATTCCTTGTCCATAGAACAACCTTTTGAGGCATTTGGTCTGTTAGATACTGATATACACAACACTTGGAACCCTTTTCCTTTTTTTTGTTTGCGTAATTCCGAACACGAAAAAAAAGCTTGGGAATGCAATCTACGTTATATAATCGCCGCATCTTCAAAAAATGTAGATCGGCATATGGCTGGGATTCAAGATGACTAAAAGTGAACAATGTCGGCAAGTGTGCTTGCATGTTTTTTAATCTCCTCGACAGCCTTCTTCATCGACTCAGGTTTAATTATGAAGAGCAAGGAAATCGGGATCTCCTGCGTAGGCTGCTCAATGTACTGCGGACGACAACGATACGCCCACGTCGCGATTCGCTGATCGCGATGTCGAAATAAAACCTCCTCCTCCTCCCGCCAGAAGATAAACTGTGAAAGGTCAAACGTATTATCCTCTACCGCGGAGGCTGCCTGTGAATCTCGCGCCTTTTCTTTCATTTTACGCGATTTATCGGCATTCGGGGGTTTACCAGCGGATGCCTGCTTCGCGCGCTGGATTTTAGCTAATAGGGCAAACCCGCACGGGGGGGGAATGGTGTGCGCCTTTTTCAAAGGTTGCGTGTGATTAGTATTACTATTATTAATATTATTATTTTCCTCCTCCACACGACGTATTAAATCCTCCATAATCTCCACTGTGAGCTCGAGCGGCACATTGCGAACGTACTCCATGATAAACAGACGATATTGAGCCATGCATTCGCTTTCATCAGGGGTGGAAGCAATGGTAGAAAGTAAAAGATCAGTCGGGGGAATGCCAGGCAAAATCACTCGCCAAATCGTGTTTTTCAAAATATCACAAAGCGGTTTAAACGCCTTGGGATGCGAACGAAGCTCATAGTTTAGATCAAAAGCCGATGCAAGTCCATAAACCTCCTCTTCCTCCTCCTCCTTCGCTTCTTCTTTTCGTTTATTAGGATGATTATTCACGGTATCGTCCTCCTCTTCCTCCTCCTCGAGATCGTTTAATTTGACAATGCATGTAAAAGGATTAGCTTCCAGGGCGGCACCAAAGGCATCGCGGTCGATCTCGTTTACCTTATCCGGACAAAACTGATCGATCAAATGCATTACGGAGTCCACCTGGCGAGGCTGCATATCATAAACCCCGAAGTCGACATTCACGTGGTCCCGGTCCTCCCCTTCGCTCTCACTCCCGCTTAGGGAATCGTCCTCGTTTTCGTCCGCCGGGGTGTCCGTTTCGTCCCCTTCGTCGTCCCAGAGCGAACTCCCCCCCGCCTCGTCGTCGTCGAGGAGGTCGTCGTGTTGGTTGCCGTCATCGCCGACCTCGTCGGCGTCGTACTCCACGCAGGAGTCGCTCGCGCGGCTCTCCCCGCGGAGGTCGCTGTCGTCCGTAGAAGTCGCGCGAGACGACGACGACGACGGCTGTGACACGACCCCCCCGCCGCCCTGCAGCCGCCCCGAGTGGCCTTTCAAAGAC